AACCTTTTGTGGGTTATTTAAAGCCGAAACATATTTTGAGGGGATTTTCCAAATATTTTCTTTTTGCGAGTAAATATTGCATTAACTGTTTTTGGAAGATGATTTTCAGATACAAGTCTTACTATTTAACTCATACCTGGGGGAAGAGAGGAATTCGAAATTTTTCCAAAGGTATTTGCGCTTAAGTGAATATAACGAACCCAACGGGAATTGCAACTCGGCTCTTTGATTAACAATTCCGAGCCATTATCCATTACACCACCCGCACATCCAAGCTTACAGCACCTGGTATTTCCAAGCTGTCACCCATCTAGGTACTTACCAGGCTCGAAGTTGCTTAACTTTGATAAAAGTGTTAATCTTACCATGGAGAATCTATTTGTCACGGGGGTGGCTCCTTGGTCATATTTGGAAGGTGGAGGCGTTCCCAGTGAGCAGTACTGCTGGGAAGAACCTGAAAACCATATTTCAAGTTGAACAAAGCCTTTTTGAATTAGCCCTTTGAGCCCTGCGTTCCTGAACAATTTTAACCCTTTGAGCCCTGCGTTCCTGAACAATTTTAACCCTTTGAGCCTAGCGTTCCTGAACAATTTTAACCCTTTGAGCCCTGCGTTCCTGAACAATTTTAGCCCCTTTGGGCCCTGCGTTCCTGAACAATTTTAACCCTTTGAGCCCTAGCGTTCCTGTTTTAACCCTTTGAACAATTTTAACCCTTTGAGCCTTGTGTTTCCTGAACAATTTTAAACCTTTGAGCCCTGCGTTCCTGAACAATTTTAACCCTTTGAGCCCTGCGTTCCTGAATAATTTTAACCCTTTGAGCCTTGCGTTCCTGAACAATTTTAACCCTTTGAGCCCTGCGTTCCTGAACAATTTTAACCCTTTGAGCCTTGTGTTCCTGAACAATTTTAAACCTTTGAGCCCTGCGTTCCTGAACAATTTTAACCCTTTGAGCCTTGCGTTCCTGAACAATTTTAACCCTTTGAGCCCTGCGTTCCTGAACAATTTTAACCCTTTGAGCCTAGTGTTCCTGAACAATTTTAAACCTTTGAGCCCTGCGTTCCTGGACAATTTTAACCCTTTGAGCCTTGCGTTCCGGAACAATTTTAACCCTTTGAGCCTTGCGTTCCGGAATAATTTTAAACCTTCTGCCTGAGCTCCTGATTCAAAATTCGCAAATAATTGGTATGTAATATTTCACAGTAGATATAAAAATAGTTACAAGTCTTTACCCACCATTTAACTGGTTGCTGGGCATTTAGTCATTTTTCTCTACCACCGGTAAAGCGGTGGCTGGTCATTACGTCCTTTTTTTTCTACCTCTGTTCACCCGGTAGCTGGACTTTACGTCACTTTTCTTTACCACCGGTAAAACGGTGGTCAGGGCTCAAAGGTTTAAAATGGGCAAACGAAACTGATCGGAAGCCATGTTTAGTAAATAAAAATAATACTCATCCTTCTTTTATTTGTCGTATCCTTTCAGCACGTGGGCGATCGTGACTCTCCACAACTGCCTGTCACTTGTTGATGCAAATCTCTCTGTATCTTTGTTCTGTTCACACAAACTCATTAAGTTGGTTACTTGCTGTTTTTTCTGCTTCACTTGCATTCATTTTTCCCTGTGAGTGCAAATTTCTCCAAGCTTTCTTTCCTCTCTATGTTTCTTTATGCTTGTAGAGCTTATTTGCCTTAAAATGTTCTCGTTACTTGCATATTATATCTATGCCCTATTTATTTAGAGGACCCAAACTGCTTATTTTTTTTGGGGGGGGCGGCCATTAGTTGTCTCGTCAAGCAGAATATTAACTGACCAATAATGATTTCGATTTTCATTGTATACCCCGCACTTTCGGCCTTATATCAAGCTAAGCGTGATGACTCTTCAAACAGAAAAAGTCGGTTTACCAATATTTATCCAAGATACCCGTCCAGTTGCAGTAAGAGTGGAACATTGAAATGTTCTAAATTAGAGAACTAAATGGCAACTCAATTAAAAGAAGGAGATGCTAAAGAGTCAGATTGATTCCAGTCGCACGAAAGAGACCGTAACACCTTTTAACCGCTAGGCTTCAAGCCATCATGAAAAAATGAACATTTGAGCGACAAGACAGATGCGAGCCATGGGGACAGGCTTGGTAACAGCCGGGATTTTGACAATTCAAAGTCGAGGGAGACGATAGGAGAAAGGCGGTCAACGAGTCAAAACTACACCCCAAACACTTTTTTATCGGCAGTAGAAGGCTTTTATTTTCCTTTAAGATATGAAATACAAAAAAAAAATAATAATTAAATAAAATATACTGACCTGTATTGTGAAGACAAAGTGGTGGTTTGAAAAAAGCACAACTGTCTTTGGAATTTAGTACATATATATATATATATATATATATATATATATATATATATATATATATATATATATATATTATTTGTTATACATGTTCCATTAAAGACGACAGACAAGGTACTGCGATTAAGCTTTTTATTTAATTTTTCTTGTTTTCGAACAAGTGTTTTCTTTCCTAGACACAGAAGCTGTCCAAATGTTCTGTAATTCCGAGCACTTTTGGCTATACTTTTAGCCATTATCAAGGGTGATTTTATTTTTTTTTAAATATAATTGGGTGTGGGGGTTGTATGTATGTTTTTAGTGTTATACAGATGTTTTATTTTCCGAACACAGCACATTGTGACCGTATTCGTAGTTAATATTAAGTGTTGGCATTTTACTATTTTATTGTTAAGGCTTCCATTATTATTAATCTTTTTTTACATGTGGATGAGGTTATTATGTTTGTATTTTCTACTAGTATGTTTCGGATGGAGTCTGGTAACTTTGCTGTGTGTTTAAATGGATTCTAATAAAGCCGTGGTCAGATAGGTGTAACGTAAGTCGTCGGGATAGGCATGTAGTAGTGTGACCGATGTAATTATTTATGAATTTGGTTTGATCAAGAACACAATTTCTTAAGAGGCATTCGAACTCATAGATAATGTTCGTTCGTTGCAATTTTGATTTTGATGGTGCGTTGTTGTTTTTGAGAATAAGGTTAGCCGTTTTAAATTTTTGGGACTAGAAAATTTGATTTTTTGGTCGGGTCAGTTGGGTAGAGTATTTCTTTATAATATTTCTAAGTGAAGGTTCATCTTGTTTGTAGTTAATGTGCATTTGATTTTTGTAGAAAATATTTATGTTATTTTTTACTGTGTGTTCACTATCATTATTATTTACTTTGGGATGAAATAGTCTAATTTGGTGGTCGATGAGGTGGTTAGAGAAGTCATTGTTAACTATATATATATATATATGTGTGTGTGTGTGTGTGTGTGTGTGTGTGTGTATTTCAATACATTTACAATACACTTGTTTTTCTTCTCTTCCCCTTCTTCTTCTTCTTCTTCTTCTTCTTCTTCTTCACATCTTCCTCCTCTCTTCCTATTACACCCAACGTCGTGTATTTGTTTATTTATTTTTGAAAATAATAATGTAGCGTTCTTTAGCTTTTAGAAAACAGAAAAAGCTTTAGGTGGTCATTTCATAAAAAAAAAGCGGCTGAGCATACCGTTAGGTTGAAACCAAGTTAACGGATTCAACTGACCTGATTTTTAAAGTTAAAAGATTTACTTGTTATTTTTAATTCTATTTTTTCATACGTGTATTGAGCACTTTTTAATACCACTGTTTCCTGGTCTGATTCAACTCTGTCCATTAATCTTTTATGTATTAGATAGATAGATAGATAGATAGATAGATAGATAGATAGATAGATAGATAGATAGATAGATAGATAGATAGATATGAATAAACAGAGATAGATAGATAGATAGATAGATAGATAGATAGATAGATAGATAGATAGATTACATTTGCTGCTATGGCAATTTCTTAGTGCTCTCTTCTTAATCCTCGTACTCAGCATCGAAAACAAATCTCCATACTGGAAAAAACCACCGTCTCTGAAGCTCATCTCTTCATCACACACACACACACACACACACACACACACACACACACACACACACACACACATACATACACACACGCGCGAGCGTGCGTTCATACCAACTTCAACTCAAGTCAACAAGTACATTAGACATAAATTCCAGTCTTGGACAGATTTTTATGACTCTTGAGGCCACCCACTACCGAACATTTCTGACATTTGGAGCACCTGCGCACAATAAAGGGCTTGAGGTTTGCTGTCAGAATCTGTTGACCTTTTCATGCGGCAACCTGATAAGAATTTTTGCTTCGAAATTGAAAATCTGTTTGTTTTTTCAAATGGCATTTACAAAAAGAAAGTACTACCCTTCTACCATAAAATTACTTCCAAAATGCAGGTGGGTTTCGAAAGATCGTTTCACGTTCATCTCTTCTCGGAAAATAATAAACAACTCAATTTTCCAAAATTCTTTAAAAAAAAAAGTTCATATCAAAGCCTCTAAACTATCTCTTTAGGAACTCTTGTAAATTTTCCGATGTTATGAATCGAATTCGATGGAAATTTCACTCATGAACAGAAATCATTGAAACAGACAATAACTTATGTTGGTAGGTAAACTATTTTACTGAAAACAAATAAATCATGGAGACTATAATCATAATTCTTGTAGTTTAATCCTGAGTGACAAAGTGTAGACATTGTATTTGTCGTATTGTCTAGTCTTTTGTAGACTAACTTTCTTTTTCTCGCCTTCCCCCGTCTTTCGTACACTGCATATTTATATTTTCTCAAATCTCGTAGTCGCTGTGATTTTGCGTTAATTTGTCAGCATAAAAACAATATGGCTTCCCCACGATATTCTTTTTACGTACGGACGTCCTTGAGGTAAGTTTTTTTTTGTTTTGTTTTTTTCAAACTACAATTCTACCAAAATATTGAGTCAGGAACAACTACTTGAAAGACCCATAATAGTGTCGTTGTTCCATTAAAAATGATTTTGATCCTTCAACCTGAGTATATCGGGTTGGATGAAATTCTTATATCTTATATTGGCTTCACTTGAAACATTGGTTCCCGTATGATCACAGAAGTTACGCAACGTCAATTCTTGTCAGTACCTAGATGGGTGACCGCTTGGGAATACCAGGTGTTGTAAGCTTGGATGTGCGGGTGGTGTAATGAATAATGGCTTGGCATTGTTAATCGGAGAGTCGAATTCCCGTACGATCACCGAAGTTAAGCAACGTCGAGCCTGATCATTATATGGATGGGTGACCACTTTGGAATACCAGGTGCTGTAAGTTTTGATATGCAGGTGGTGTAACGGATAATGGCACGGAATTGTTAATCTGAAAGTCGAGTTCCAATTCCCTTTGGGTTTGTTATATTTACTTACGGGAAACAATACGAATCTACCTCTACGACCCCCAGATATGGGTTAATTAGTAAGACTTGTTTCATTCAACCATTATTATCTCCCCCCAACAAAAAAATCTTACAATCTAAAAATATTATTCTGCAAAGTGTTGATAATCCGTAAAAAATAAATCAATCAATCATGTATATTGTCTTGAAACTCGAGCGTTCTTCACTTTTCGTTTAGACTAACTGGAAAAAAAAACAGTGAAACAATTCAGCGAAACCTTCTCTCTTTAAAAACTTACATGTCGCAGACTTATTTATTTATTTATTATAAAACACTTTTTAGTTGCCATTTTAAATAGTAATTATTTTTGGCATTTATGTGTACATTTTTTTAATTTTGAAGCTCCCACTTTAAAGCCATTTTTCACTCTTTTCCATTTTAAAACCTCCCTTGTCTGAAAAGTGAACAGTTCTCTCTAATCCTATAAATTTTATTTTCATAAAGCGCAAAATAAGACGAAAGTACATCGGAAAATATATTTTTTGTATAAAATATTCATTTTTGCCTAACCGAATCTTTATTACGTATTTTCAAGGAAGGCAAGCTAACTTACTTGAAATATTGCCTCAACACGATCATCCGACACCTATATCGCATCATCTGGCCTTATGGTGTATTATTACTAAGCAAGCTAAGCGTATCTCGCAGCACGTATTAAGGAACTCTCTAAAGCGTGGAGGTACAAATCGTTGATTACTAGGAGAATGGCAGCTATCAGTGACACTGACCAAGAGGCAAATCAAACCACAACAAGTGACATTGACTTGCGCCCACACTGCAAATATGGAATTAACTGTTGACGAAAGAATCCAGATATATTTATTATGAAACATTTTTTTAGTTGATATTTTAAACAATCATTTACTTCGTTTTAGTTTTTGTGCCGGCTGATTAAAATGGCGTAACGGACAATTTCCCAGATTGCGTTTCAAATGTTAATGTTAGAAGGCGAGAAATTTCTAAATCTGTTTCTGTGGTCATTGAATTTAAATTCACTCTTGAATCATTATGATTAAAATCAGTTGTTATCCAGAAGTTAGGTCTACTAATATTCAAACCAAGGAATTGAAATAAAATTCAGGGCTATAGAATTCGCACAAGAAACATCTGCGAACGTATAACACTGACTCTCATCTATGTACATTATTTACATTATTGGGAGTATTGTCCTCATCTTTGTCGCCATATTTATTACAACGTTTCGGCCGTTGTACGCTCCGGCCGTCTTCGAAGTCGAACCGAACCCTTTATTTCGCTCACTGGGGTAGACTGTTCTAGTTCCACGTGTCATGTTTTAATGGATGTCAGTTATCAGTTATCTCCTGTTAATTTCCCTCTGAAAGTTCTCCACAGCCTTTGGGTCCTGTCACTGGATCTAACCAACGCCTTTATCCACTGTGCCATGTGTCCTTGAGGAAAACGGCCGAAACGCTGTAATAAATATGGCGACAAAGATGAGGACTATAGTCCGAGTAATGTAAATAGTGTACATAATACATCATCTCAGAAATATAGACAGATACTGAAAGGCCGAAACGTTGTAATAAATATGGCAACAAAGATGAGTACAATAGTCAGAATAATGTAAATAGTGTACATAATACATCATCTCATCTATGTATACAAAAAGACACAGGGTAACTATAAGGTCCACATTAGAGTTAAGATCCATCAATAGACTTCTTTGGATGTTAAAGAAATGTTATTAATGTTTTAATTCATATATAGTTTGTTCTTTTTTTTAATTCTCTTTTGTTTGTCTCTTCAGGTAGATATTAAAAGTGCTTATTATTGACCGCTGTCTTTTAAGAAAAATGACAACACCGGAATATAAAGGACATTATAAGCCCAGGTTCGTAGACCAAAACAGACACATAGGTCCAGCGAAATTACCGTATAAAAAAAAAAACAAAAAAAAACACCAATTCGTGTTAGCAGCCATGTCTGGCACAAGAAGTTTATGAAGATAGAAATAAATTGAGTGTCTTTTAGATTGTGTTGCATGCAACTAATGGAACCAATGTAGAAATGTTCTGGTATGTTTAAATAAAACTTTTTTTGCTTATTTTTCAATAAAACCATCTCTGCCACGGTTACAGTGAAGGTATCAGCATCAGGATACTGGATGTTGTTTAGTTTGGTTTGGTTTATTTTGTTTTACGGCATATTAGCTTCAATGGGTTATTTAATGCCAACAACATTTTTAGGATAGATTCATATGAATAGAATATGTATTCTTTGGTTTAGATTGGTTTGGTTTATTTTGTTTTACGGCATATCAACTTCAATGGGTTATTTAATGCCGACAACATTTTTAGGATAGATTCGTATGAATAGAATATGTATTCTTTGGTTTAGATTGGTTTGGTTTATTTTGTTTTACGGCATATCAACTTCAATGCGTTGTTTAATGCCGACAACATTTTTAGGATAGATTCATATGAATAGAATATGCATTCTTTGGTTTAGAATGGTTTGGTTTATTTTGTTTTACTGCATATCAATCTCAATGGGTTATTTAATGCCGACAACATTTTTAGGATAGATTCATATGAATAGAATTCGTTCTTTTGGTTTAGATAGTTTGGTTTATTTTGTTTTACTGCATCCTTCAATGGGTTATTTAATGCCGATTTTTAGGATAGATTCTTTAGAATATGTATTTTAGATTGTTTTTTTGTTTTTTTTGTTTTTGTTTTTGTTTTACAGCATATCAACCTCAATGCCAACAACATTTTTATTGCTGGTAATATGTTTTTCTTCAAAAATCTATTCCTGGGAATATTTTTCCTTGAAGAAATCTATAGCTGGTCATATTTTTTTCAAAGAATGTGTAACTTTGTATTCCTGGTATTTTTTTTTTTTTTAAGTATTACTGGTAATAATTTTTCCTTCAAAAATATTGCTGGTAATTTTTTATTATTATTACAAAGTGTTTCTGGTATGAAAGCCTATTTTTACACAAATTTGGGTGTTAACTATTTTCCCATAGCTGGGACCCTAACAGATGCTATCACCCCGCGTCAGGGTGGACCTGGGGACACCAGCAATTAAGAGGTGGTTCCAAGCTCCTCAAAACCTCCTGGTCAGAGGCCTTGCTGCTGGATGTAGTTTATCGTCTTACCCAAAACGCGGATGTAGTTCATCGCCATACCCAGGACGAATGGATGTTGTCGATGACAGATTCTAACATACCATATTTAGCCTTGAACTACGATGGTGTCATGCATTTTTTTATTTTTTAAATCAACACCATGACTTGATAAGATACCAGTAGTATTGAAACAAAATTGCAATTTTTGTAGCATGCTATAACATGGATATTTTATAATTTTGAATATATATATATATATATATATATATATATATATACAGAAAAAATGGAGTAAAAATTAACACTTCGGAGCATTTACTTTTTTAAAAAGTGCTCAATACAAAGTAGAGCAAAATATTATTATAATATTTTTATTATAATAAAGTACATTAAAACATTTTACATCGCTACATAAGACCTTTCATGTTTCAATACAATGATTATACTTCGTCAGGTGATGGTAGATAAATTGAGATAAAAATGATTTATTATATTATTATTTCCCTAATAAATCATTTTTCATCACAAGTTATCTACCATCGCCTGACGAAGTACAATCATAGTATTGAAACATAAAAGCTTTTTGTGTAAGGATATAAAATGTTTTTTATTATAATCTTTTATAATGAAAAAACATACATACATACATATATATATATATATATATATATATATATATATATATATATATATATATATATAAAGGAAGAGGTTATAGTAGTTCCAACGAGAGAAAAGTGTGTATATTAAAAAGAAGAGAGATAACGCAAACGTTTTTGGTTGTAATGTGAATTTTAAAAAAAGAATATTATGCTTTATTTTCCATTATATATATATATATATATATATAAGCAGGCGGGATGATTACATTCAAGCATGAAACTGTCTTATCAAGTGATGGTGTTGACAGGGAAACCCTTTATTTTGTAGTCAACACCATCACTTGATAGGACACCAAAAGTGTCGGAACAAAATTGCAGTTTTTTGTAGTGATGTTACAAAAAATCCATATGTTATAATTTGGGTAAATATTATTTGCTCTACTCGGTATTGAGCACTTTTTTAAGAATAAAGTTTCTGGTTATCGGAATTTTATTCCATCTCTACCAACCCTGTACCTAGGTATATATATATATATATATATATATATATATATATATATATATATATATATATATATATATGTGCGTGTTTGTTTGTTTGTGTGTGTATATGTGTGTATTTGTGTGTGACAGACAAAAGTACGCAAATTAACAGTAATAAGGCAAAAAGTTCATTAACGCATAAAAGGGATACCGACAACTGATCGCAGCGTTCTGACTTCAAGACAAGTAAGAACAAAAATATGGCAGATGAAACCGAGTTCTTTTCGACTAGCAAGAAATCCCAGCATGTATCTGTGCTATTTTTCTATAAACTTTTGAAAGGTGGTGTTTTTGTTGTATTTCCCCTTGCATTGGAACCAACAATATACGTAATCATCCCTATGATTACACGCGTAAACAACATAAGCGTGTTGGGATGGACGACATATTTGAGTTGAGTCTAATCAAGCATTTAACCTCCTAAATCGTTTATTGGTTCTTTTTTTGCTACCTTATATGCCGGCCGAGTATCAGCACTCATACTAAACTTCTTCTCTTTGGGCTGGAACAAAAATAAGTTAAAAATCTGCTTAATATATAGCAATGCCGCATCTGACAAGTCACTGACACACCTTGAAAATGGTTTGTCTTCACGACACAGCAACTTTTCTTTGAAAGGGATCTAAACAGAAGCCT